TAATTCTGAGGTCCTACCACCACTCAGCAATATCCAAGCTGTCTGTGCTGTCAGGATTGCTATCATTCCACAGCTCTGTATGTCTCCATTTTTGGTGTTTTCATGCAAATTCTTCTGCTAGTTGGAGTTTAGTCCACTTCTATATCCTTCCCTTCAAGGCCCAGGGGTCCAGGATTATCTTCTGTATCTGTGTTAATTGGTCCCCTTTTCTTTGTTGAAGAGAGTCTGTGCAGTCTTTCTGCCTATTCTCCCATCTTCAAGGCTATAAATATTTATGGAAGTCTATACTGTAATCTTTACAGAAGCAGTTTACCAGACCTTTCTTCCATGGATCCACTGGGTGAAATTGAATTGCAAACCTTCTGTTTGCATTTCATTGGGCATTGCTTAGTCTAATGGACACATTTAGCCCCAAGTGAGCCTAGAAAATAGAGGCTATTCTGGGCCCAGCTAATAATCAGGGGCTCTAGTGCTGTGGCAAGGAGCCCTGGTGGCACATTGGTTAAGCACTTGACTCTTAACTAAAACAGGTCAGTGGTTCAAATCTACCAGCGGCTCCACAGGGGAAAAGACCTGGCATACAACAACGTCTATTGCCATCTAATACTTGTGGTATTTTTTTATTATAACAGCAATAGATAACTAGACTCTCTCTGAACCTCCAATTCTTAATTCATAAAACTTTATTTGCTTGAATAATTTCTTTTAGAAAGATCACCACAAGACTTGTCCCTATGAGGTGGAGGTTAAAGACATCCCAAATGTCCAGCTTTTCCAAACTGCCATGCCACTCCATCATCTCTGACATCAACTCCTCCTACTACCCTCAGTAATCTCCCTCCTGTCTTAGGGTTCCGTATTTCACCGTAACATCTCACAAACTCCCAAGAAAATGTCTCATGTGGTGGTGGTAGAGGCTGGGAGGCTGGCAAGTCCCAAATCTGTGGGTATATCTGGAGGATTCTCCCAACTCACATGATTGCAGGAGCTGGAAAACCCAAATCCGTGGGTCAGATGGTTTGCTGCTGTCTCAATTCCAAGATAATGAACCAAACACAGGACCAGAACAAGAGAGCTAACTTTCCCAGAATGGGGGGGGGGGAGACAAAAAAACTCACATATGTATACCCTTAAGGAAGCTAAGGGTGGTAACTTGAGTCACACCCTCCAGCAAGGGGGGACTCAGATACAACCCACCCTAAACAAGCATTAAGTCTGATCCGACTCATGGCGACCCCTCTGGGTTTCCCAGACAGTATCACTATGGAAATAGATTGCCCCATCTTCCTTCCGAGGAGTGGCTGGTGGGTTTGAACAGCCAGCCTTCTGGTTAGCAGTCAAATGCCCTAAACAGGCATAAGGAATAGGATTTACAATACAGCACAAAATGGAGGATGGTGGCTAGAAGGACCATATTAAGCAATTCACTGAATTGCATTATTGTATCTACTCCACCTCACCTCATTCATAAGGTCTGTTCATTCATTCAACAAAAATTAATTGCATACTTACCATGTGCCTGCCAGTCATCAGGGTTGGGCATGAACATAAAGTGGTGAGCAAAAGATATGTCCCTGTCCTATAAAGTTTAGAGTGTGATGGGGAGTAGAAAATGGGCCAAAGAGAGAAACCAGGCAGTCACAGCAGTTCATTTCACCCTAGATTCTTTTGGAAAGCAGGTATCTCAACATTGGGTAAGTCCATTAATACTGATACTATCTACATTCTTACCTTGCTCTGTATAGTATTTCTTTCAGCCTCCAAAGCAAATGAAGTTCTGATAAGATGGAAACGTGCTGGATCCTATCTTTTGGAAGAGCTCTTTGAGGGGAATTTGGAAAAAGAATGTTATGAAGAAATCTGTGTTTATGAAGAAGCAAGAGAAGTATTTGAAAATGACATGATAACTGTACGTATTCCCCATCCCCATAAACTCATATACTTTTATAATTATTTAAACTTCTGTGGCCTTAGAGAACATAATATCTCAGAGAGACTAAGCTAAATTAATTAACCTATTTACTTACCCTATGAGGATGACATAATCCTAATTTTCAAATAAGGAAACTGAGACTTAGCCTTAAATGAAATAATGTAACCTTGATCAAATAGTTATTAAGTGGTGGACCTGGGATAATAAATCAGTCTCATACTCTTAAACTGTTTCTTCATGTTAAGCAAATGAAACACATTGATTAGACTTCCCTATCACACACATCAATCAGCTTGTCATTACTCTGACAGAATAATACCTTGCTAGTATTTGAAATATCAGTGGCAGAACCTCCAACATCATAGCAACACACAAGCTACCATAGTAGGACAAACTGATGGAATGATGGTGAAACACTTTAAAAATTCTAATCATTGTTTAATGATTGAAATTCATGAGAATGTTTAATATATACCTCACATATTTTTGTAGAGAATGACAATCTGAATGGTGTAATCATATAGTTGTGTTTTTCTTTTTAATCACTAAATAT